ACAAATGAATGTAATTTGTGTAAAATAAATGTAATTATACGCTTCAAACACAAATTTTAGCATGCAGATGGATGTATCCAGGTAGGGACATTGTTGTTTCGATGTCTTGCTTCTTTCCCGATGCTCTCCGTGGCAACGCTGTCTGCTGCTTGCTGCTGTCTCCCGTTCACGGAACGCGAAACGCGTAATTTACACCGAACCGATGATTTTGAGGTTACTTATGTTTCACCTTGTAATCCGGCTCGAAGGACCAAATTTTATGTAGGAATTATGTTCCTCGTTTTTAGTGGACTGTATCGGATTTGTTTCTCTTCAATAAAACGCACTTTTTTAAGACTTTAAACGAATTATATTGCTGGATAGCGTGATGACAAATCGGTTCGGCCGCTGCAGTCGAGAGCAAAACTTTTTTATACAACGTTGCCGGTTATTTAACGCAAAACCTTTTTACGGCCCTGGTTGCAACAAAATTACAGGGCGCTACACTACACCGAAATTAGTCAACAATGTATACAACAGTATGTATATGTACGTCATTTGTGGTACTTTGAATTGCTACACTTTTTAAGGAACCAGGAAATTCCCAGGCTTACGAAGTCCAACATTGATCAGCTACAGGTAAATGAGATTTTTTATAGTAAAGTATTTTTGTACTCAGGTAATTTTTTTCTAGATACAGGCTTATAACTAATTATTAGAAACCATTGCGTGCTGCCAGTTCACTTTCCCAGAATTGTTGAAGTATATTTTAAATTGCTCTTTTATTTCCTTTGCCTCCGTCGTGTGATTTCTGTATAGCCCCTTTGAAGATTTTGCAAATTTTCGGAGTTTGTACCATTGCTAGTATCTTCAAGATCAAAAACATCATTTGACGTATATGTATTGTGACAATTTCTTCGCAAAAATTATGTTATACATAACAAGCCAAAACAATCTTGTCAATATTGTTAACTTTTAAATTTATAGTAGTATGAGAAATTTTAAAACGGCTAGCTAATATTCGCCCTAGACAAACGATAGTTATAAATTATCTTTTCATAATCAAGCTCTTTTTGATTGTACGGGTTTAAAAAATTTGGCCTCAAAGCAAATGCTTCATCTCCGATAAAGATGTAATTCAATGGTGCTTCACCTTCTAAGACTGGTTCTGCAGTAGGCAATTCAATTTATGTTCAAGCAACTTCTTCATAAATATGGTATTGTCAATTAATCCACCATCAGATACTCGGTCGATGGTGCCCATGTCACATAATAAATTCGTAATTAGCATACGCAATTGCCATCAGAACAATACTGTGGGTCTATGAAGGCTTTCACGACCGGTTAAATCACATTTAAGAATGTTTTCCGGGCTTTGAAGCCGTGGTCTATGGGAATTTCTTCCTGACGTTTCGTCCACAACTGCGGTGGACATTATCAAAGGCGATGAGGCAGTGGGCGAAGTGATCTCCCGTGCTTTCCGACTAAGACTGGTTCAACTGCTGGATTCCTCGTCGTATTTATGCAGCCCAGCCGTGTGTGCTCATGCGTGGGGGATGGGTGGGGGTTCAAACGCTTCGGCGCACATGCTGTTTGGCGCAAAATGCGCTTCCAATCTGGATTGAGTGCCGTAATTTCTTCTTTTCTGTTAAAGTTGTTTTGGTGTTTAAATATTTCGATGGCCTCTCTGGTGAGTCTCGGGTAGTATCTTTCAGATTGGTGCAGAATGTCCACTTCGTCGAAGCGTATTTGGTGGCCGTCTAGTAATGCGTGCTCCGCTACTGCTGATTTTTCCGTTTGTCCCAATCTGCAACTTCGTTTGTGCTCCGTGATC